GATATATTTTTGTCATCTTCAACGGTGTGCAGGGGACTGCCCCGTTGACTGACATCAATGGTGGCGAGCATGTCATGTTCTTCATTGTCCAATAGCATGTGGAGACCATTTGAAAGATAACCTCAACTGAACTTTTTGAATGGGTCGTGATCAGACTACATATTCACATATATAAGGCGGCTTGCCCGGCTAGTAATCATCACACTTAACCCTCTCAGGCTCAAAATAAGTTTTGATTAAAGGACGAACAACTAAGTCCTTCAGGGACACTTCTGAGTTAAAAAATGCTCATGAAAACGTATGTGGAGTAGCCAGGTAGGTAGGTAGGTTTTAACGTTGCAAATCTGCAACACCTGCCTCCAGAGGGCTAAATCAAACAAAAGTTTGAAATATATTTTCACCTGTATATATTAGTTCATCAATATCAGTAAAACAGCCGCAATCGAACAGCCGAGATTATTTGTTAAAACGAGTCTGACATAAATCTCACCCTGACAAACAGAGGGGGCTTTTTTTTATATAGGGCTCAGTGTTGTTGGCTTCATCAACGCCAATCGTTTCCAGCCTCCAGAAGCTGAAGAAATCAGAAATATTCAACAACAGTGTGAAACATGGTGCCAAGATGACTAAAGAGTTTGTAAAGAAGAAAATATTGAAAGCCGTAATGCGGCCAAGCGTATTGCTTCGTGTAAAGTGAAATGTCCCCCACAGCAAAGAACAGCTGAAACCACTCTCCATAAAATTTGTACAAGACTTGGTCTCATGTGGAGAGGTGGTTTGAGTCCCTCTCAAAACACGCAAAGTACGTAAAAAATGAGTCTCAGAATAAATGCTGTCCTGTCTTTTGTTGGGTTGGGTTCCTACTGGGGCTTGCACTTTTCATGAGAGAAATCTAGAAGAAAATGCTTTATAAAATAAAAAATCTTTAGCATTTTTATTTGCAGTTTTTAGACATATTACACCTGACTTAGTTAATGTAAGACAAATGCAAATATTAAAAAGCTCCTTTTCAATTCTGAACATTTTCAGTTCTGCAAAGACCAAAGACTTCCAACCACCTTGGTTGGATCTAGCATGCTATCCTTGTTAAATAATTTCTCATAAGTGCTAACGTTTTGGTGTGATCACGGGTCATTTGAAAACCATCTGGTAATTCATTTTTTATTTAATCAAATTAAAAACATGCTTATAATTCTGCTTTTCTGAGAACTGGACCCAAAGTGTGTGTCAGTTCCGCTGATTACATCTCATTTAAACAGGATAAGCCATCAGTTTCATCAGCTACCAAATCTCACATGCTTTAATTAACAGTGCTAAAGAATGATGGACATCTTGGAATCCTCAGAAACGAGCCTGGAGTGAATAAAATAAATCAGAGAAGTTAATACTCTCGTTGCTCGGCTCTACTTTAAAAAAACAGCACTTCTACTTCCAACATCTTGTCCCTAGATGCATAATCAGCTGTCAGACCTAACTTATTTACCCAGGGCTTGTAGAGCACATGGGACAGGGCGAGGCGTAACTCAAAAGGTACAAAACTACCAAAAAAAAAAAAAGGCAGATTTTTCTGAGCGTCTGGATTTCTTCTTTGCGCTGACACTGATTGACGTTGCGAGTGTGATGTGTGGATGTTAAACCGTGCAGCAGCTACGTGCCTGCTGCCAGGGTTTAGAGCCTGGGTTTGCAGCCCCTAGAGCGCATACTTACACCCTGTACACCTGCTTGTCTATTCCTGCACACACACACACACATGCACACACACACACACACACACATGCGGGCATGCAAACTGAAAAGAGACCAAAGAAAAAACAGAAATGACCTGCACGCGTCCTAATGAGGGAGGGCTGGGTGTCTGGCATTTACCTCAAACCATTTCTTCCCCTGCTGCTGTCTCTGGAGGGCTTTAAGTCCACCGCCCGTTAACGGCTGAAGTGTGGATTTCCTGTCAAATAGGGGTTAGAGCCCAACAAAAGTCCTGTACTATAGTACCTAAACAGGATCATTTACAGCTGCTCGGTTTAAGCACACACACTTCGTGTCTTACAATGCCCCAAATGGGATTTATGCTGAACCTGCAGTGCTCATTGTTGTCTTTGTGCTGACCTTTTATTGCTCTCTTAAACTCTACTATCAACTCAGAGCTCTTTTAGTACAAACATTATAAAGTTGTGATATATTTGACTTTGTCAAATTGAATCAAATACAATGGTTTTGAGGTTTTTAAGAGGCTGATTTCAAATGTTCCATTGGAAATGCCAGGATTGGACTTGGCGCCATTTTTCCTCCCATATCTGCGTCTCCTTGGAGGATTGTTTGAAGAGCAGGACAGATACTCCCTCAGTTCCTGACAGAAATGTTTCTTCTTTGACACCAGAAGAGCTTTGAAGAGAAGATCCCGCCTTGTGATCTGGTTATTACTCACTTGGTTTTGCGTTTGTCACTTAAGTGGACACATCCATCAAAGCACAGGCGGAAAACAAGTTTGCACGATGAAGCAGGATGCAGAACAGAATGTTTTCAGGCTGATTAAAACCTTCCATGTTCACTTATTATTTTGAACGCAATTCACAAAAATAGCAATGGAAAAAAAAGCGTGTATTTGAAGAAGCCCCAATGCATCAGTTCATGGTTTGCTTCTGCAGCTTGTCTGTAGTCCAACTGGTCCCAATTACATTTATTGGACATGACTGGGAAAGACATGGCTGCCTGCACCAGTTCTCACTCTGGATTTTGTATCTTAGAATAAAACTATGGGACTGGAAAAGCTGAATTTACAGGATTGTCTCAAGGCTCAAATCTGGACAGGATTTCTGCAGCACTTGAAGCATTCAAGAGTACAGTAGCTTCAGTCAGTCTCAAAAGGAGAGAGTTTGGAGCAGTATTCATAGATTTGTCTGCCGAGCAAGGAGTAATCACAGATGAAGGGTTTATGTTTATGTTTATGTTTATGTATTTAGCAGATGCTTTTGTCCAAAGCGACTTACAAGTGATAATCGGCAATTTGCCCTTGAGGCTAACAACAATAGTAACAACAACAAATTGACATCAGTCATGGAGAGGAGGGAACAAGGAGTGGACAGTAGAGAGGAGGGACGGGTGCAGACAAGGTGCTAGTTAAGAAGATGCTCTCTGAAGAGCAGGGTCTTCAGGAGTTTCTTGAAAATAGAAAAGGAAGCCGCAGTTCTGGTAGTGTTAGGAAGGTCATTCCACAACTAAGGGTCTTAGTTGGACATGTAACCACAAAAGCAAACTTTTGACGTGAATTTTCCAAAGTTTTTTTCGTAAAGACTGAAAAACCTGAGAATTTCTTGCATCACTCCACCTTGGTGGGTGGTCAGACAGAAGGTATAACGGACAGATCAGATCAACTCATCAGCCTGCATGCTGTCATCCACAAAATGTAGAATTTGCCTTAGAAGCACGTCTCTGGAGATCTGTGTGCTGTGATGCTTTCCATGAAGCATGGTTGAACTTGAGAAGTTTCTGCTTGGAGGCATGTGAGGATTTTCCAAATGAAAGTTATACTAAGAGTCCTTCCCATAAGGAGAAGTGATTGGTGCTGGAAATGACAGCAAGTGAGTGCTTTTACTATTTTAAGATGAGTTTGAAACTTGACAAATGCAGAAAACCAGAGCGGGTCTGAAAGCTTTCCATTGATTCTACATACCTCCATATTCCATAGACCTTAAATCCAGAGACCATTTATCTGTTTGATTGAAGTTTTATCCAGACTTTTTTTTAAATTCACAGACTTCAATCTTTCTGTTTCAGTATGCAAGAGTTCAGAATCAAGATCTGTTAGTGCTTTCCAGCATCTTCCTCTCACTGAGCTGCAGTAAGCTTGTTTTATCTATGCATGAAGTCTCTGCTCTTTCTCTGGTCCGGCATTAGGTATTTTGCAACTAGCTAATCCTCGGAGGATGCAATCAATACTTTGCGCCAAGTGCTCTTTGGCGCACCATGTTAAGAATCCCATCTGTTTTCTCAGCTGAGCCAAAGAGAGGCCAGCGAGGAGACGCGACGGAAGACCTTGTCAAGAAGATCCGGCCTGATTATATTCAGTCCAGCACAGATCAACACCATTATCTTCACCATGTCTTCAGTCACAATAGTAAATCTGGTCTAGTGGAGCCCCATCAAGCATATGATTGCAAATATTAACAGATCATGAAGGGTTTTTCTTATCTAGAGCCAACAAGAAATCTGTTTTACTTCAGTCCAACAAGTGAGCATAAATATTAACACGTATAAATGGTCTGATCCCTATAAATGGATTGGTCAGGATAACGTATATGATATGTGTTTATTTTTCTTATTATGAAGAACATTCGCTATGAGTTTTTTTTTTTTTTGTATTTGGTTTCTGACATTCTAGGAACTAAAATTGTTAAAAACGCAATTTAAGTAGGTGTATAGTTTGTGACCTGTCACAATCCATAAAAGAGGATGAAGACTGCTTACCGACTAACTTATTTGGATTAATTGTATTTATTTTATTAGGGTTGTTAGTTATTATAAAAAGTGGTTGAAAAGTTTAACCCTTTGATGCATGAATTACGAAATCTTCAACCATGATTTTTTTAACAATTTTTTCATTCATCTTTAGGTGTGAATGAAACAAATTTCAACAAACATTTTTTTGAAACATTTAATAATTTACAAATAATTTATTACGTGTCCACCTCAGTGGACAGCGTGCATTCTGAACATGAAATCTGTTGGCTTGCCTTACTGAAGTCCAAATGGAGGGGCTCAAATGCAATAGTCTTCAACAGCTGTGCTTAATAGCAAAAAATAAATAAGAGTTTTGTGTACCTGTCCACTGTAGTGACCATTATACATCAAAGGGTTAAAATGTGACATTTCTCGTATTTATTGTTTTCATTTTATTTCTTTTTCGTTTGTTTTAAATCAGGAAAACCGACCCCACCGATTGTTTTCAGTTTTATTTTGAAATCGTAAACCGGAAACAACGTGATTTGTTTTCCGGAACTTGACGTCAGTGAGGAGAAGCGCCGTTTGAGGGGGGTACAAACTTTGGTAAAAAGGGGGTTGAACCGAGGACGCGTGTGGTTTCTTGGAAAGTGGCATCCGTGTGAAGAAGACGAGACTTGTTTAGTTCTCTCTGGACTTTAACCAACCTGCGGGTCCGTCTCTCAATTAATCCGGATTCAAACCTGCTCTCAGATTATCTGGACCCAGCCATGAGGACAAACGTATGGATTTACCAAACTTTGCTGTGTGTTCTTGTCACTCTTGTGGACCCAGGTAGGATTAAAAAATTAAGCACAATTCTCATTGTTTAATCTTGGCATGAATTATTTTGTTTTTAGATCATCTATACATTTATTTTAGATATTGTGAGATAAGATTTATTTTTATAAAAACACAAAATACTTCAAACACGTGCTTTGATTTCTAATGCTAGAGTAAAACGCTTTACCCCTCTTGTCTGAATGAACTTGTTCACAATCACTAGTATGTATGGCTAAAATGTAAAAATGTATTTTGTTTACATTCGCAGATTGTATTAAGGCGCTTCAAAAAGCATGTAAAGCTTTGAGCAAATTCAGATAAACTGATTTTAAAAATCCTAATCTCGCTGAACAGTAAAACTAATTAACTTTAGACTTTAATTTAACTGAATCTTCTAATGATTAATCCCATTCTAAACAAGATAAAAACACCATTTGTCCTTTTTTTATTCATATAATGTAAGACTATCCCATAGACCGTTCCTCTTCTGCAAGAATTGGACCAACTTCAGAGAAGATGCCTGCTTGCTGTGATTTGGCAGCACACCCACAATGCATCCAAATAAGATTCCTGCAGCAGCCGTTTTATTTTTTATTTAAAAGAGAAAACAGAAGATGTTCTGGGAGATCTGATGGCCACCTTGGCTCGCGTCCACCCATTTGACATGTCAGGGTATAGTTCTCACCTCTGCTGGTGCTGACCCTGACCTCTGACCACACCAGAGGTGGGGATAGTAAAAAGTCCTGTTGGATAGAAGGGGTGTGATTAAGACAGAGAAGGAGATCAGGAGGTGTGTGTGTGTGTGTGTGTGTGTGTGTGTGTGTGTGTGTGTGTGTGTGTGTGTGTGTGTGTGTGGGTGTGGGTGGTGGGAGGGGTGTTAACATCTGGCTGCTCAATACACAAGCACATTTGCACCCTGAAGCAGATGTAATGTCTGCCTAATTCCCAGACAGACTTTAACCTTTCCTGTAGATGCAATCTTTTTTTAACTGATACTTTTAAGGCGATCGCTGACACATTATTACCCAAAACCGCATGACTAAAACATGTCAAACTGTCGTCGGATTTCATCCCCAAGGGAGGAAAAAGGAGAAACTTTCTAGGGGAGGTCAGAGCATCGGTCCTCTATACCCCATCTACATTTTTCAACCTCAGCCCCAACCTGTTCCAACTAATACGTCTGCCTCTTCTCATTAAATCTCAGCTCTCTCCCTCCCCGAGCACCTTTTATCATTGTCCTGTGCTTGGGCGAATTCTGAGAGATATTTTGGAGATAGCGAGGGTCTGAGTGCAAGGAGAGGAAGAGACTAAGTGAAATCTAATTGAGCGGCCTGGCCAGACATCAGGGCTGGAACAACACTGTGATAACTGCCAGATGTGGTCCAGAGGAGCCTAAACATTAATAACACGTCCTCCCCAAAAACCATTTTCAGCCACGACAAGCCTCTAAACGGTCCACTGTTTACAATATGCTAAGTACACACATAGGCTTGGGTTGGTTCTTGGCACAAGGGGGGGTTATGTGGTTATGAGTCGGGAGCAAATGATATTCCCGGGTGATTTATGCTGCACTTGCAACTAATTATAAACTTTAAACCATTGGTTTAGAATTAAAAACCTACAGATACAGTGGAGCTCTGTCCTACTGCATGAATAGCCCTTAATGTTTGACTTAAAATATGATTTTGTCCTGTTTTTGAACCTGCTGAAATCCCATGAGCATTATGCCACATTTTTTGTGACCTTAACTCTTTCTTTTGATGTTCTTCTTCTGAAGAAATGGCTCTGGACAAAAAACCCTATAAATAATGCAGGAATGAATTAGAATGTGTCCATTTTGGGCTGCTGACAGCTTGGCAGCTCATTTCTACCGTATGCTAGCATGTGTCGCCTTCAAATAACTAAAAGACCCATAAAATGGATTATTTATTAGAAAATCTGGTTGATTTTTTTAAACGTCTCCCAAGACACACGACCACATAGTAGAAAAAGGTCATTCTGATTTCTTGGAATAAAAAATAAAGTCCTGATAGTTAGGCATACCTCTATTATGCAGCTTTCTTCTCTAGGAATGACTTGATTTGCCTTCAGTAACATGAATCTAGCATCGCAAATGCCACAATGTGGAAAAATAGTTTTAAAAAGCTGATTTAGGCTCTTTCTGAAAGCAGTAAAACATGAGATGTATTTTCATAAGGGTCTCCAGCCGAGTCACTGCAGCATATTAGCCTGCTGATGGACTTCACTCTGGTCCTTCAGCTGCCCTCACAACTCGAGCGTTCTGGTTTAAAGCAGAACTGCTGGGTGGCATTTTAATCAAGGCTTATTCCTGTTTTTCTGACACACAAATGTCCTCTTTTCCCGATTGGAGCAGCTTTTTTTGGAAGGATTTAAACCGTGGACTGCATCGTGTTTGCCATTGTGTCCTCTCCTAAGATATTTGCTAAAGAAATGAATTACAAATTTTAACATCTGAACAAAAAAAAATTCTATGAATAGAATTTGATTTAGAATGTTAGACGCTGCCCTGTAAGCCTTTTTAAACAAGATATTTTTTTAGGGATGCACAATATATCGGTATCGGCCGATGTTAGTCATTTTTTAACTTATCGGTATCGGTTCGATAAATAAAACTGGGCAGACTCATTAACTGCCAGCCATTTTCTGATCAGAAAAGCCCTTCGCTGCCAGCGTTTTTCAGCGTTTTGCAATGTTTTTTTTTAAGAGTCACAGAACGTTGAGCGCTAGGATGATGTCAACGCCAAAACAACCTAAACAAATAGCAGACTCACCTCTTACATCGGGAAGTATCCGCGTGTTTCCAGCTTTATCCGTTCTTTCATAATCTGTTGTCAAATTGTGATCGGCAGAAGCTTTTCCGGTTCTCGCCTCACTTTTTTTTACAGCAGCGGCCCAAAACGATCTCCTAGCACATGGATTTTCTGCTTCCTGGTCACGTGACGTGTTACATACGTGGATGAAGATCGGCTTTAGAGCTGGGGGTGTTTGTTCTCACGGTGCGGGGCTCATTCCGATGCCCACACAGTAAAAAATGCAAATGACGACTTTAGTCCGTGGCACTGAACAGTTGGATTTAAAAAGACCACTTTTGTCGTCAATGGCAGTGAATGAGTTAACAACCGATATTGTTTTCCATCTTGCTTCCATTTGCTTATGCGTTTAAGAGGGTGAGGGGGGTGATTTGTATTAGTTTAGTCATGTGACAGTAGATGTGTGTGGTGTGTGTACATAATGTAAATTCAGCTTTTAATGATTTTCAATCTATACAAAATCTGCTGATTTTGGAAGCATTAATGTCGGTTTATCAATATCGGCAAATATCGGTTATCGGCCATAACAGTGATATTAATATCAGTATCGGCCCAAAAATTTCATATTGGTGCATCAGTGTTTTTACAGATTAAGTGAATAATCCATGAATATTTGATGAAATGTCCCCATGTTCACCTCCAGCCCAATAGGGGGCAGTAACGCACAAAGCCATTATTAGGATAGCATAACTTTTGACAGCGATTTCCTAAAGGGGGTTTGATGAGAAAGCAAAACAAGCTATACGATTCCAGGAGGTTTTGCAAATGTTTCACTGGAAGTGGACTAAAATTATTCAACTGTAATAAAATTCTACAAGTAATCAGTAAAAAATGTTTAACAGTGTGACTCTATACACTGAACCTCATCTACTAAAGCTGAGAACAAACGTGTCAGGTAGGACTGGGCAATCAATAGAAAATGTATCGTTATTAAAAAAAACTTGACTCTAATAAAGATCATTTTTCCTGTGTCAATGAATTTGATAATAAAAAATGAAAAGATGTGTGTAGGTCGGCAACGTTCATGTTCCTTCCAGAAGCTGTACCACCTTGAGTCACGTAAAAATGTGATTTAACATAATACACGTGACAGCCCCATCTAGTGGAAAATTTTTGTCTCTGCACATTCCTGTAGTTATCAACCTTTTATCATTATCGACGTGAAATCTGGAATATATCGTTATATTAATTTTAGGCCATATCGCCCAGCCCTAGTCATGTGATAATTTTTTTGTGTTCAAATCACAAACCCTTATTTTAGCAACCTCAGGTGAAAGTTTCTGCCATTTAATCAAACTTTTGCATGAACTGCTATGAAGCTCTGGAGGTTGGAGCCACTTTACGACGGCAGCAAACTGCTTTATTCTTGGCAGCACTTGGATTATCCTTTAGTTGACTGTTGCTGTGGAACATAAGTAGTGATGGGTACCGACTTCGGTACTTTTTAAGCTACCGACCGAATTCCATAGTACCGACTGAGCACCGATTCGCGTCATTTGAAACGGTGCCTCGTTTCGGTACCCGTCCTTCATAACGAGAACTTGTCTAGACAGCTGCGCATGCGCAAGAGCGTTATGTCGTCGCTCGCTGCGAACCAGTTGTAAACAGAGCAGCATGGTAGAAAGAACGCACGCTAAAGCTTGGGTCCACTTCACTAAATGTGATGGGTACCTGGGTGATGATGAAACCAGTGACAACGATCTAAGTGAGACATCCTCATCTTAATCTGCTCCGGTAGGTAAATATAATTAGCTTGATATTTTAGCTTCCGTTTCGCTAATGGTGCGTTCGCTTTCTCCTCGGAACTCCGAATTCCAGACTAGAAGAACATGAACGCGCGCTAAAGTTTGGCTTCACTTTACTGAATGCGACGGGTGATTGGGTGAAGATGAAACCAGCGACAACGATCTAAGTGTGAGGCATCATTGATTTAATCTGCTCCAGCAGCTAAATAAACGGTTTAAGATAACGTTAGCTTGATAAATTAGCTTCCATTGCCACCGTTGTTATCAGCTAATGGTGCTCTCGCTTTCTCTTAGGAAATTCTAACTTCCCAGCAGGAAAAATCAAAAGAAAAAGGACAGCAAAAGGAATGAAGATACACAGTAAATTTAGTTCACAGTAAAGATGTTTGCTTCAGTTTAATTATCAGCTTATAAAACTACAAGGACAATGTTAAAATACAAACAGTTGTATGTTATTAATCGTGATATTTATCAAATATGGTTATAAATGGAGAAAAAATATATATTTAATTATAAAAGAAAATTTAAATATTAAACACTCAAAAGTATCTAAAATTGGTACCGTTAAGTACCGTTACTGGGAATTAGTACCGAATTGATTCAAATGTCAAAGGTACCCATCCCTAAACATAAGCTTTATTTCTTCAAACTGAGGCTACTCTGGAAGCTTTACAATGGGTACAATTGTTATTACTTTAACACTTTCAACCTTCAACAATGCTGCTCAGTCTGACTGCATCAAATAAGAATCTCCACAGCTGGTTTACCTAATCCTTTTTGACATATTTGCCTAATTATTTACTTTTTTTTATGTTAGGTGACAGTAAATCAGTATTTAAAGGTATGTTTTTGAGGCTTCAGCTTTGGTTGCATGAATAAAATGAAAGCTTTTCACAAGTATACTTATGCAGATCTGATGTGTCTGTATTTTGCAGGCTGCTGTCAAAAGCCTCATCGTCAGTTTTTGCAGAAGTATGAAAAGACCGAGAGCCACATGATGATTTGCACGGACTGTCCTCTGACTCCGTTGGTGCAGAGGAGCCGCTCGCAGGAACACTGCGCCCGGAAGTGCAAGAAGCTGAAGAAGAGATTCAACTGTAGGTGAGTCACTTTTGAAGTCTTCTGGTTCCTCCGTGGCCCACGTTCCCCCGCACTCCTTCTGTGTCCCTCGTAGTATTTACATATTTTTGTTGTTTATCATTTAGTCATCTTTCAACTGCTTTCTGTGCGTTTCTACAGGGCTTTCAACTTTCAAAGGCACAACAGGAAATGCCACTTGCTTCCCTTTGACCGTTTCACCCACGGTGTGCAGAAGCAGGCCAACATCAACTTCACTTTGTACGAGAAAAAAGGTAAATCTTATCAGAGCTTCATGCATTTCAGTGTTTTTCTCACGAGAACAGGAGGCAGACTGTTGGTAGTGGCACACGAGTGTTGGCTCGTGGGTTTTTTGAGCACTTTGGTCCCTCTGTTGACATAATGACAGAACCCAACCTCCTCGCGCCCTGCTGTTTAATCATCCTGATGGAGGAGCGTTGCTGCTTAAACACACAGCAGGCTGAAGTAAACAAAAAAAAATCATTGTTTACAGCCAAAGCGCAAGAGCTTTTCTCGAGTGTGGGCTGTGGAATCTAGCACTTTAGAATTTATTGCAAAATTTACAAAAGCTCCCCACCGTGACATTTAATGAACTTCAGGGACTTCTTGTCTGTTTTGGGAGCAACGTGCAAGCTGGAACGCAACTGAACGATACGCTCGTCTTGACCATACTTGGGCAACTTTATTCAAAGATTTAGAGGGAAAGCAGCCTTTAATCGCTGTGTAAACTGGCACAGAACACACGAGCAGCTTTTTTTTAAAAAGGGTGTGTGTGTGCGTGTGTATGTGTGTGTGTGTGTGTGTCTTCTCTTTTTCTTAGATTATATAAGGGAGTGCATCTCCAGCACCAAGGACGACTACAGAGGGAGGAGGTCTTGGACAAAGTCAAATATCACTTGCCAAGCTTGGTCTGATAATAACATCAATGAACACACGTGAGTACAGTTGTAAAATCACCCACAAGTACAGATCCTATTTAGACATTTATTCGTCAGACGCGTGTGTTACGACACTTAACTAAGGCTGCTCGATTATGGCAAAAATAATAATCACGATTACTGTTACTGAAATTGAGATCTCGATTATTTAAGACGATTTTTCAATTAATGTTGATTTTATTTGTTTTCTGTCATAAAATTGCTCAGGGCGCAATCAGGACAAAAATAAATAAGAAACAGGATGATCACTAAAATAACTGCTGATTCCCAGTATAAAAAGACCAATATACTTATAGCTCATAGTTTATGACCCAAGTGCTATAGACCTTGGTTTAACTCATTTAAGTCTAACCAGTACAGACCCAAATACCAATATCTTGCAAATACTGACAGCAAGAATTATACAGTTTATAACAAATAAATGCAAATAGTTCACAATTGAAGTTCACAAAATTTTGCATAATATATATTTAGTCATGTCAAGGTGCTGTAGGTCCTCAGAGAGATTAGTTATTATTTATCAGCGTGAGGAACTTATTTATCTATTTCTACCTTATTTATAAACTATTTATTTACAGGTCATCAGTTAATTTAATAACTGTCCCAACCACAGCTGCATCCCCCACCCCCCAACCCGGTCTCACAGCAATCGGGCAAGCTGCACGTGTGTTTAGTACGCCACACGCTCACATTTAGCTGTTCTTAGCGGTTCAGGAGCAGAGGCGGATTTAGCAATTTGGGGGCCCAAGGGGAACACAGACATGGGGCCCCTTACACTAAATTTACGACAATCTTACCTTTAACTTGATTTGCGAAACTCTCCCCTCTTCTGACACGAGTTTTTTTTTCTTCCCTTTTTATTAGTCCTCCTCTTGTTTCCTGTATTTCCCTCCCTTTGAGCGCTTTCAATATTTGCTCTGCTTTCTTTTTCCTGTCAGGGCTCCTGTGCTTTAGCCTTAGGTTTTTTTTTCTATTTTCCATTTTAGTCAATGTTTTCTTCTCTTTAAACATTTTCCATTGTCTTTCCTTTCTGCTTCATTTTGATGTTTACATCGAGAAACGACGTCACTTTCAGAAGTGAAAATAAAAGCTTTTACGAAGCTTGCAGCTTCTTTCTCTAATTGGAGCCACTAGGATAACTCCATGTCATGCTTAATGTTTTGACTATCGCTTTGAGTTTGTTACAAATGCTCCCGCCTCTCCTTCTTATTATTTGTGCTCTAATGGCACTTGGCAAACAACAGTTTGGTGCATTACCACCACCAACTGGATTGGAGTGGAGTGACTACCAATCACTTCCTATTTGTGCATCGCCATCTTAATAACCCTCTTATGACCATAATTATAACAGGGCCACCTGGTATTTTTTAAATCTTATGGCTGTAGAATTGTAATAAAAAGTGCAAAGTGTGTATAACTCTTTCAGAACGACCTCAGCTTTCAGTGTATGGTTTGTATTTAGAATTTATTTCTATAAAAACCTTTAAAAAAATCAGCTTAAAAGTGAAAAAAGCAAAAAAACGGATTTGAATTTTTTGCATTTATTATTGAACAGGAACTTCAAAATGACTTGGGCAAACAATTTGGAATGAACAATTTAAACTTTGAACTGTAATGCATCTATTCTTAAAAAAAGTGTGAACCTTGGTATCTTTTTTAGCTGTTTTTAAGACCATTTATTTTTGTAAACTTTCAGACGTTTTTATTTGATGTGGTAGGCCTTGAAGCAGTTTCTCTCCAGCTGCAGGCAGAGTCCCACTCTGCACACCTCACACTGACATGGGGTGCTTCTCTGGCACACCGTGCACTGATATACCAAAAATTTTTGTTTTAGCAAATATAATTATTTATTGTAAAAAGATAAATGATGCTGGAATGAAGCTGAATCTTACAATTAGCAAGTAGTTGAGGGTTGTAAAAATAAAAAGTAAAGACTGAACAAACATTCATACCCTGGTTCACTGGAGATCTGTCCTTCTTCGTGGTTACTGACTTCAGACATAAGCCTTCTGGGACACCTAACGGATCGTGTTGATTTTCTTTGAGGCATTTCCATAATTTCATGCTGGTTTTTATCCTGATTAGCTTCCCCGTTCCGTTATCCGCTTTCACTGCAGCGCTGCGCTCTGTTTCAATCAGGCTGTACAGCAGGATTTCTCCTCGTAGCGATATTTTCCCTAACTCTGATTGCTTCATGCTATAGATCGTTGGAAAGCTGCTTTTATGTACTTTTAGGAACCGTTGGAATTTTTTGAATCTGATCAGCCATTCAAAAGTTATAAAACGGAGCATTTTGGATGACAAACTCGGCACGTCTCTGAATCTGTGTTGTGATTCGTTGCGTTCAAGACAGGGAATCCCGGTGGCTACCGTAATGTATTGTATATGCACGAAAAGCCCCATTTTTAATCTTTTCAGCACTTTTGGAATTTTAATGATATCTTGAACGGTTCAGGAATTATGGTAACGAGAAGCATGACTCCAATCCCATCTGCGGCGACAGGTTGGTAATAAGAATATTGTGGCATTAACAGAGGGGTGCCGGTGGTCAGGGCTAGGGGGCCCCCAACACAAGGGGCCCCAGGCGGCCGCCTACCTATGCCTAATGGTAAAACCGCTACTGCTCAGGAGCCCGCAGGTAAGGTGTGTGTCACTCACTCTGGCTAATCCAACAGGGAGCCGGCTCTCAGAGCCGTTTCTTTAGCGACTGACACATCACTGCATCATTCCCTTTCCTGAAGAACGGTCCAGAGCGCAGGCGGAGTGTTTAGCTAACCTGCCGGAAATGTCAACAACAGTTATCCGGAAAGTAGCTAAGGGTTACCAGAGATGTTTCTGAGGTGTTCGCTAGGTACTTTTAAGACTTAAGAAGTCAAGAAGGGGGTCTGAAAAGCTGCTAGAAATAGCGTCAAAGTCGCCAAGTTGGCAACACTGGGAGAAGCGCTTCATTTGCAACTCAGGGCAGCGCAAGTGGGAGGAGCAAATAATCAGCTTGTTTTGTTTTATCATCGTTCAAAACTCCGATCGTAATTGGGATTAAAATTCGATCAACTGAGCAGCCCTAACGCTAACAGATTGCAATAATCGTCCACTTCCTCTCGCCGAATTCCTCCACATTCAAACCCATCAAAGTTCACATCTTCTTTAGTCTTTCGCCTCTTTTTTTCATTTCCAGGATTCTCCTTCTCTTTTCCTCTGTGTCTGATACTGAACAGACCTCAGCGTTTGATTTATTGTTGCTCAGTTCATCCCCTTCCACCTCGGGGGTTAAGGGAAGGTGGAGGCTCAGAGACAGTTGAACGTTTATCCAGAGTTAAGTCAGATTTCTTTCAACACATGCAGGGATGTCCTCCCTGATGGTTTTTCCCCCTGTACCAGAGGCCATCAGGTGTATCCCAAAGATGTTTTTGCTCAGCTAAAATTAAGGCAAGAGATCAGTGAGGTGGATTGCTGCCAGCTCCTCATTAGAGGTGCTCATTAGTTACGAGATGTTTTAACTGTGGCAGAGAGGGGAGTGGGGAGAGTTTGAGGAGGCGCTGAGTGAAAAAGTAGAAAGGAAATAAAGAAGGTGCAAAGATTTATAGACTGAAGTCATGTTTTGTCTGATGTCCAGCTGGGTTTACAGAGTCGCAAGCACACAGAGAAAATACAGGTTCGGTGATCCTTTACAATTAAAACAGACTGCAGCATCGGTCCTTTCCTCTCTGGCGCTGCCCCAAACCTGTCAGAACTTCCCAGAAGCAGTGGTTAGCAATCCTTTGTCATCGTTTATTTGACGCATGGTCCCAAACCTCTTAGCAAATGAAGAAGGGACTTCAATCAGCACAACCTGTCAACATCTTTGAACTTTTAAAGGGTGAGTGGAAATGAAGCGAGATAAAGACGAGGTTACCTAAGATTTGAGCGGACCGCTGTGTGAGAATTAGTCCCGTAATGAGCCATTTGAGATCCAGTTAACTATTATTTTCATGCTTGACCGATCTTCGTCGGGGTGGGAGGGATTTCTCTGGAGGTTTCCTTCCAGGACTTCCACCTGTTGTTTCCGTTTGTGGGTTCAAGTCGCCAAAAGAAGTGACGTCCAGCTCAGGACGGAAAGCAAAACAATTGATTCTACCCTCTATTTCTTATTTTCTTTTTTAATTTTAATTTGATAATTTTAAGCTGCACATCTTTCTCATGTTAAAGGTGGGGAACACTGAAAACACATTTTTTAATTGTTGTTTCTGATTATAATCGGTCACACTGAGTTTTTCATGCAGCCTGAACATGAAAATAGTCTCCTACGCCTATCTCCTGCATTAGCTTCTGACAGAAAATAGACGGTGAAGTTCTAGGATTAGAAAAGTCTGGTAGGTCTATGTCACACTGTCACACTAGCGTCCAGGAAACAGCGGAGAACGTCTTAGCAAGTAGAAGCTAACCGCCAGCATTGGCAACTCCACCACACAGCAGAACTCCTCCAGGCTTGTGATATTTGTGGCGATGAAACATCAACCTCACATAGCAAATAGAGCCGGTGGTAGAGTCGTGTTGCTGTTGGCTAAACTCAAACGGTCATGGAGCACTTACCCCTCCCTCAGGTACCTTCCCTGAGATACTTCTGCCAGAACCGGGAACCTGCGATACGAGATGGCGCTAAACACCTGTTGCTATTTTCTAGGTCCAAGCGTCTCTTGTTGTCTATGGCTTCAGATGGTGCTTTTCTTTTTGGGACTCTAGTAGTTTGTCCTAAAGTTGAAGTGGTAGCAGCTGGCTGTTTCTCCTTCTCTGATATTGAGCAGAGAACCTCTCACACTAGTGGAGTTCTGTTGCAAAATACGTGAGTGAGTGATGAGTGGAGGACCCAGGGGAGTGTGGTGGCTTGGCAGTAGAGGGGCTTGAAAAAAACGTTTTAAGATCATTTGTTTTCCAAATTTGCCATTGTAGCTTCAAACAACAGTTCAGCACCTTTGAAGCTCATTTTAGTCCTCATATTGTGTTGAAATATATTCTCAACTAAACCGGTAAAACAATAAATAATATAAAATCAGCAGCTGAAATGGACAAACAATAATGCACAGTAGGGGAAGTTTCGGCAAAAACAAGCCCCCGAAACGACGACGAGCATGTACGTCTTTAAAGAGCAAGTCACCCCTTACAAGAAGCGAACTCCACTCCCACTTCATGTTTGAACAATGCAACAAATGCTGTTGCCTAGCAGACCGAGAGGGTGGAGCCACTAACAAATACACACACTCACGACAATGTGACATCATAATGTACCAGTTTACATCATAGCATACCTCTTAGCCAATAGCGGTGGCAGATTTAAATTCGAATGCAGTGAAGACTTTTTACCTGACAACGGCACAACACTGCCAGTTTCAGGCAGAAAATTTAAATTTTAACTAAAATGCACTAAAGTGCTAAACTATTGACTACACGTGTCTGCAGCACGATTAGACACACATTTATATAGTTTATCAGAAAAAAAATGTTGATTTGGGGGTGACTTGCTCTTTAAACTAACCTCGATTCCGACACTCATTTCTGCTTCACCTCTTCAGCATTCAAGCGTGATGTTTCATCCACCAGGTGCAGGCAGTGTCACACATTATGCAGCACTTACTTCAGGCCTAGAGTTCACCCTCAGTGGTGTCCAAAAATCCAGCAGTCGGCACGGTGTCTGCCTTCGCTCCGATGGGAGCTGACTCTGGCTAGGAGAAGAAAAACTGGCCAACATCTGTTAGCACAACATCATTACAGCAAACCTGCTCCCATGCTGCAGCCGTCTCACTCTCACATGCAACCTCCTCCTGCAAAGTGAGGAAACTTGTAATTCCATTTATAGATTAAGAATATTGAAGTCTATTGAGTTTGAGTTACACACGGCAGACGTGGTCTTTGGCCCGGGGCAGAAAGCTGCTTTGGAACAAATGTTGTGTTTTAGCTGCATTCATAAAAGAAACGTTGCTGTTGGATCTGTTGGGTTTTGACATATAGGTATGACCGTATGGTTGGAAGGTCTTTATTTCTTTTTGCACTCTCTTTTTTTTATAGACTTGGTTAAATAACTGAAATCGCCTCCAACACTGGAATGAAAAATGTTGTGCATTATTGTAAAAGGCTTGTAAAAGACCTGCAGGCGCTGGGAGGGGATCAGAGACTCCCCCATGAGGCTGTGGTAAAACATTCAGGCTTATTACTAAAGACAGGATGGTTCTTTTTATTATGTGTGTGCTTTTTCTCAATACCATCAGCGGAAAAGGAGACAAATCGCTCACAGTTTTGCCGCCGCCTAATTCAGTCATTTGTTTCTTCTTTGATAAAACTAGCGTTCAGCTCCTTCTTCTATCATCTGTCACCGTCTTGCGGTTCGGAGTGGATCAGGAGGTGCTGACGTGCCAGGTTTTCATCATCCTGCCTCGACACAAGATGAATTTCACACACTGTCCATTTAACATGGGGATCCCTTGCTGATCCTCTTTGTTACACCACATTTGCTTGGACCAGCTTTCTAACCGTTTGGTTTGGGGGGGGTTGCACTAATGCGGTGGAGCGGTTGACAGAGAAGGATTGGGTTTAAATGGGTTCCAAGGCTGCCAACAAACGAGCTGCGTGGTTTGCTCCAAGTGGCCCATATCCTAGTTCTGTGCTGTTGGTGGTTACTGTGCTGTGACGCTCGGGTTGATTCACACTCTGGGTGGTGTTGAATTAGGAATTTGATCAAGCAATTCTGGTGAGAGGAGACGTATCAATGGCTTAGTTTGCATACGGTCGCCACATGAGCTCATTCCAGGGATTTAAACCAAAGCAAAGCTCATGTCTTAATTCAGATTCACTTATTTGGGTTGCTATGGCGACTGTCAGTACGGAACCAGGTGGCCAAGTGCACAAGCCGTTCTGTAAATTTATTTAAACAGCTCTGTGGTATCAAGTAACACGCTGCCCGCTCCGCCCTGTCAGGTTTTATCCAGATCGGTACCCGACTCAAGACCTGAGGGAGAACTTCTGTCGGAATCCCAACGACGATCCCGGCGGTCCGTGGTGTTACACCACAGACCCCAATGTGCGAGCCGAGGAGTGTGGCATACCGCAGTGTTCACAGGGTGAGGCAAAGCATCCTTGTGGGCGAATTAAATAAAGCAAAAAGTGATAAGTGCTCGTGGGTTTCATTGCTGTCTTGTGTGGTTTATTTTTGTTTGCCTTCTCTAGAGAATGACAGAAGAATGAAAATGTTGTTCCTTTGTTGACAGAAGTCTGTGTGACATGTAACGGAGAGGGTTATCGGGGCAAAGTGGACCACACGGAGAGCGGAAAGGAGTGTCAGAGGTGGGACTCACAGAAGCCTCACAGACACGACTTCCAACCCAAAAGGTGAGCTGAAAACCACAGTGAGACTTTTCTCGTGGAACAGATAGCTTAAAAAAACTGGTAGAACACCAGTTTTTAAGACTTACATCTCTCCCGTGTTCCTTTATTTGTCTGTGGTCTATCCGTCGCTACAGATATCGGGATAAAGGCTTGAAGGACAACTATTGTCGCAACCCAGACAACCGCCTTCGACCCTGGTGCTTCACCATGGATCCCAAAAGTCCGTGGGAGTACTGCAACATCTCTGTGTGCGGTACGGAGGAAACTGAACAAACAACTTTGTGCCACACCATTGGGAATCTGTTTCAGGATTTAGCCTTGAGGGTGTTGGTTCGAAAACACCAACAAGTTGTCCTTTCAATCCTCAGTGACTTTTGGGGGGGTTTCTGGAAAAAGCCCCCATCATCTCCCCTGTGGAGTCTCATAAGTCTTTGTTTGTTTCATGTGGTGTTTGGCTTCTTCTGCTTCAGCGAGGAAAGGCCAGTAGGCTGTTTGTGAAGTGGATCATCAGACTTCTGATAGTGTTTGGAGACCACTCGAGGCTTTAAAGTGGAGGATAACAGTGGAGACGACTATAGCGCAATGCTTCACTCAGGCACTGAAGGCTGTGTTTGAAATAACAGACGTAAGATATAGAGATAAATCGACGTGCGAGGAGGGAAATGACTGCAGATGCTTCCTCCGAGCAGCTCAGGAGGTCAGCGAATGGTGTGATGGACATGAAAATGATTTGATTCATATGCTGTGGCCCTCGCCGACACTCGGCGTCTACCTAACGTTAAAGGCATGAGGGTTTTTAGGGCAGCGAGCCATTTTCTGCAACCACAGGTCGGTCTGATTGGAGCCGTAGATAACATGTTTCTCCAGATGATTTCAGACTCGGTTTGAAAAGACTTTAGAGCATAGGAACATTTGTTCATTACTTTGTCACAGTGCATTGATATAGTCCGGTACACACACATGCAGTTTTACTGTACAGCGTGTGATTTACAGCAAAGGTGGACGTTCTGCATTTGTCCAGATGTGAGCATCCCTCACTGCCTGCCCTCTGAAAGATTAAAACCACTGACCTGTACTCCGCGGCGCGCACACCGACACTGGCATGCGTTACATCAAGCCAAGGAATCTCTCTCTTCTTCCACTCATCTACTTTTTTTTTTTGAATGTTTCTACCTCAAAACATTCCCTTTCCTCCTCCATCTTCTCCCATCTCATTTGTCAAAGGCTAAAGAAACAAAGACAAGAGATCCGGAGGGAAGAAGCTGCTCCTCCCTGGGCACCGTCGGAGAGCATCTGATAATGTTTGAAAAGCTGTTGATGGTGGATGAAGTCACTGATGTGCAAAACATAAACCGAGCGTGAATTTCATCCTTTAGCCCTTTTCTCCGTTTGAAGGATTTTTTGGAGACATGAAAGCCAGCTAAGTCATTTATTGTTGTGGAAAAGCCTGAGTTCAGGAATGTGTGTTATAAGTACACAGAGTTATTTTTTACAGTGGGGGGGGGGGGGGGGGGCTACTGTTTCTGATCATCTGTCTGTAGGTTAAACATGACACATTCTTCTGGGGATTAACATCTCCCTCCCCTCCCTCCCTCATTCCTGCATTCGGTTTCTGCTGGCGACCTCTTCTTCTCATGCTCCTACTCACAGCAGTCTCTGCCCTCCGTAGACTCGGACCCCAGCGAGGACGCCGATGTCAACACGACCACGTCCTGCGTCCAGGGGGAGGGAACGAATTACAGAGGAACCATGAATGTCACCCCAGAGGGCGTGACATGTCAGCGCTGGGACTCCCAGTTCCCCCACAACCACTCTTTTCTTCCTCAGAACTTCAAATGCAAGTGAGTGATGTTTGTTTTGTGGCCGCTGGCGTCAAGACGAGGAAGTCGTTCATTTGTTTGTTTTACGGTTGAAAAGCCCCGAAGAGGGTGGTGAAGTCAAACGGCTCCGCTGTAAACACAACAGTCGTCAGCATCATCATTTAAGTTGTAGCTCGTGTGTGTGTTCTAGAGACCTCAGGGAGAATTATTGCCGCAACCCGGATGATGCAGATTACCCGTGGTGCTTCACTACGGACCCTAATCAGAGGAGAGCCAAGTGCACGCACATTCCTAGATGTGATGCCGAAGCAACGCAAAAGATTGGTAAACGGCTTTCTTTCTGCTTTGCAGATGCATTTTTTTTATTTACTTGTCTGCATAAACATGAAGCTAATGGACCTAAATGGAAATCAAGTAAAACGAATAACATTTTATCCGTGTTGAAAACAATAAATAAAACTAAAGTACTGAAACCTCTCACGATGTGACCTCGCTGCAAAGCAGCTTAAATTAGAAAGTTTAGTTTAGTAGAAGTTTACTGTAGCTTTAGTTCTAAGATTATTCTGGTCTCCTGTTGGATTAGGGTCAGAGGTGTAGTCTTTGGGTTAAAGGGGTTCTAGAATTCAAATCAGCTTTCACCGTGCTGTTGACAAGGAGCAGCTTGAGGTGTCTCCGACCTGCTTTCCTATGAACACTGCCGGCCTAAACAAAAAGTCGCAACCAGAAGAAGGATTTGGTTGGACCACCTTTAGCTTTGATTACAGCACACATGCGCCGTTTCAATACGCTTCTGCAATGTGATGACATTGCTTCAGGTGGCAGGGTTTGTCAGATCTTGCATTGATGATGGTAGAGTCTGACCGCTGCACAAAGCCTTCTCCAGCACATCCCAAAGATTCTCTCTGGGGTTAAGGTCTGGACTCTGAACCACTCTTTCACTATCTGAGCCCGATGAATCCCGGCATTGTCATCTTGGAATAAGCTCGTGCCATCAAGGAAGATGGAATAAACTGGTCATTCAGTATATTCAGGTAGTCAGCTGACCTCTTTCTTGGAGCACATCCTGTTGCTGAACCTAGACCTGACCAACAGCAGAAAGCCCAGATCATAGCCCTGCCCCCACAGGCTTGCACAGTAGACACTAGGCATGATGGGTGCATCACTTCCTCTGCCTCTCTTCTTACCCTGATGCACCATCACACTGGAACAGGGTCCATCTGGACTCATCAGACCAGTTTTTAATAATGTGTTGGACAGTTCTTAACCCAGTTTTATTCGTTTTTGCGGTCACACATCACGCCCGTCTTGGCATCCCTACACTGGCTTCCAGTCTCTTTTAGAATTTCGTTTAAAGTTCTGGTGTTTGTTTTTAAACGAGTTGGCTCCACGTTATCTGGCGGATCTGATCCATCCTTATGTTCCCGCAATGAACCTTCGGTCAGCGCAACAAGGACTGTTGGTCGTTCCTAAACACAGACTACAATCCCGAGGGGGTCGTGCTTTCTCGGTGCTGGGGCCGAGGCTCTGGAATGAGCTACCTACATGTGTTAAACAGGCCACCACGCTCGGCAAGTTTAAGAGCCAGCTGAAAACTCACTTTTATTCTTTAGCTTTTATTCAAGAAGAGTCCCGTTAACTGATGGCTTTGCACTTTTTGCTGCCCCACCTAGATTTTATCTGCATGTTTTTGTTGGTTTTGAAATAGTTTTATATGTTTTTATTTTTTTTTATGTTTATTTCTGCTGTGCAGCGCTTTGTTTGGTCCTTGGGCCATTTGTAGGCGCTATATAAATAAAGTTTTAGTTGGTTAGTTAGTTAGTTTTTGCAATCTCCTTAGATGTTTTCTCTGCTTGATGTCAATGATCTGACCCTTAGAGTAACATTTTTTTCCACGACCACCAGATGTGTCGTTCCACGTGGTTGTTTAAGAAATGAGAAGCAACTCATTGCACCAGTTGGGTTAAATAACTTGCTGCAGCTGAAAGATAATCGCCCATGCAGTCATTATCCAATAGGAGCTTCATACCTATTTGCTTAGTTAAATCCAGGTGGTGACCTTTTTTTTGGGGGGTGGGCTGTGTAGTGATGTTGCAGTCGGTGCCGCTCATCACGCACCATGCATAGGGCACCAAGTGCCCGGGGGGGGGGGGGGGGGGGGGCACCAACCAATCAGCCTAAAAAAAAAAACTTCCATGAGGAAATGTTTAATGTGAGCATGGAGATTATTAGATATTATTAGATGCAGATTTGCAGCATATTCGTTTTCTTACGATGTTAAACCTAAATGAAAAATGCATTACTGATATAGATTTAGTTACCTTTTCACTGATTTCTCCTCCAACTCTTGAACACAATCGTCTCAAATGTGACCATTTCTCGAGCAGACCTTTTTCCTACATCCTACGCTTCCAGCAACAAGCAGGCATATTGAAAATTGTTTAGAAATATTTCTTGAAAAGCACGAATCAAATGCCAAACTGCAGATGCTTGCAGAAACATGTCCCGTCTGCACATGGGAATTATGCAGACATTTTCTGTATCGCACTCCCAGGACCAAACCACTTGGCAGCATGCTGCCCAATGAATTCCACTCCACCGAGGAACAAAAACAGCAGACTTTGGCAACAACGCGCGCTGTCAATTCCCATGTCCCTCAGCTTTACAGTTCTGTAGACCACACATGTCATTTACTACATGCCTTCTGCTGATGCAGCTTCACGACAAAGGGATTGAAGTTGAAATGTTCTTTTATATTCCCGAACCAGTTGGACACGTTGTCATCAACACGGCCGTTCCAAACCGCAAGGAAAAATACACAATCGCATTCCTTGGTTCCTCTCTGCAAGTGCATGATTATATGTTTCTAAGCACCCCGCCTCACCGAAGGCCTTCAGGTGTTTGAGAAGCTGCTAGGCTCAGTTGTTGTTGGCGCTGCTTCTTGGAATTCTTAACAATTCTCCTAAAATAACGTCTCTCTCTTTCCCAGAGTGTTATGAAGACAATGGAGAGACGTACCGGGGCGCTTTATCCATAACTCGATCCGGGATTCCCTGTGCAAACTGGACACATCACATAAACAGGTAATGAAATGCACTAAAACACTCTTTGAGTTTTTTTTTTTTTAGGTGTGGATAAACACCGACCAATAGGCTCCCATTGTTTTTTTGAAAATCACTTTCACATTGGTGAAGCTAAGCTGTGAAAACAAGCAGTGAAAGGAAATCAGAGGTTCCTCATGGGTCAATACCAAGTCCAATTATTATTCAGCTAACTGACAAGAGGAAACCCCTGGGTGTTCTCTGACTGACCCGCCCCCTAGCAGACAAGTTGCCCACTCCAAAGCCATCGCGTCATGCTGAATTCAAGCTGCTGGATTTATTTAATTTACAAGAATTTTAAAAGCCAGAATGGCACAGACAGATGGACATGTTCCAGAGCCGACCCCTGACCCCAGGAAGTGCTTTCTGAGGAGAGCAGATCAAAGCCAATCAGCTCCCTCGCATTGAGCGCAGCCAGCAAGTCTACCCTTCTCAAGGTTAAGGGTCATCCCAGGAAAAACCACTGAGAGCTACAGCTTGTTCAACATTCTCCTGGGAGGTGGAATTATCTTCACCCCCTGACAAATTGTTGCCCCTCTCTGGCGTTATTTTTGCGCCTGTGTGTCCAAACCCTGTGCTTGTAATTACTTTTCGGGGATATTTTGGATATTTGAGGAGATTGCCTTTAATTCTTCTGCAGCCAAGATGCTAAAGGACACATGATTAGATGTGAATTCCAACCAATTGAGAGCACAGCCAAATAACCATAGAGGATGTGGCTCCTGCTGGTCTGGGCCCTGCCGAATGCTTAGACGGCATACTTTCATACTCCCTTGAGCACTCTTCTGAAAACTCCGAGTTTTCTTCTGAGTGCTCTGTGCAGCTAGTGGAGAGGATTCATTGCACCATAGGAAAGCCAGACTTTCCAGATATATTATCATTACTTAGAGCTCGAAGGTGCTGTGTGTGCACAGCGGTGCGTGCACAACTTGATGCACACTATACACATGCTTTGGTTGTTTTTAGTATGGGAATGTGTTAATCTTTAGGAGACGTGACCCGGTTTAAGTTCTAATAAACTGTGCACAAGATAACAAATAGAATATGAGAATTTGTATGTGTGTGTTTTACAGTGGGGATTCTCACTCCACAGTATCCCACGTAGGGCTGGAGAGGAACTACTGCCGGAACCCGGATCGAGACAAACACGGCCCCTGGTGTTACACGAGTCCAAATAACCGCTTGGTGTGGGACTACTGCAAACTCAAGCAATGTGAGTGACTAACACAACTTTCCCTTTTAAATCCATCCCTGGAATGAAACGTCTCAGATGTTTGCACACTGAACTTGGTTTGCTGACAAATATAGATGACTGGAAGTTGTTTTTATTTCGCGGGCGATTCACGCAGTTTGAGATGAGACCGACTTGAGTATGTTGACGGTGTTTGGTACAGCAGTAAAACAATCTAGCTTTACAGCTTTTTGACGACCTCAACGAACAACAATAACAGTTCCACGCTGCATCTTGATTGGTGGCTTGTGTGATCTGTTAGCTGCGGTTTGGTTCAACTGGCAGAGGATGCACAATGCTCAAACAGCAAACAGATGCAAAACTCCACAGCCGGGGAAAACGTCTTCAGACTCTGCTGGGTCTGACATTTTCCGTGGCTGGTTTCAAGACACTGGAGAGCCTCTTTATGAACGGCTGCATAATCTAAAACATGTCCACCATTAGGTTTTCTGTGTCTTGAGCAGACTCGTCTGCATTGTCATCTGTCAAAGCCTCTAACAACAATTTCAGACACAAAGTCATTTAAAACTCCTAAATAATCTGTGTTGTTCTGAGATTCTGGGCTTTGTGTGTCAATCCCTTCTCTGTCTCTCCTCACTGTTGTGCTTTTCTTTACTTTTATCAGGTGAATCTGCAACAACGCCCCCACAACCGAACAGTAAGTATCCTTTTTCAATCAATCTGCCTTTTACCAGGCCGATCCTCCTCCTCCTCCTCCACCTTGTTTTGGCCCTATCTCTGATCTCCTCCCCTTTCCTTTTAACTCTTTATATCAGATCCTTCTGTTGCCTTTAATCTGGCTAAACAAATCCTATTTTATGGTTGACTTTTGAAGTTACAGTTAACATTTTCCTATTTAAATGCAAAAATGCATCAGCCATACATGCATTTCTGAAATATCTGCTTGTTTAGATCCAACCAGGCCCAAGATCTCATGCTTTGTGCACATAAACACCAGAATAGTCGGAGGACATGAAGTACGAGCTACAGATGGCAGCTGGGTTGTAAGCATCCAAAGAGAGTAAGTCACTTCCTTGTGCTTTTTTTTTTTTTTGTTAAAACAAGCTCTTTATCTAATTTATACCCAGCTTGGCAGCGAGTGAATTTACAGTCTCAAATTTTCTTAGGAAGGTTCATTTGTGTGGCGGCTCACTGATCAGAGAGGACTGGGTTCTGACGGATCAACAGTGCTTTACATCCTGGTAATGATCCACCATCTGGTCCTTCTTGTAGATGCTCATCTGAAGCATGTGTGAATTCTTGTTGCATGTCTTCGTGGCTCGTTTTATTTTTTTTCTGCATGATATTATTCAAACAAGCATGGCTTCCACATATTCTCTGACCAATAACAACTATCTGCATGTGAACCAGGAACATCTTTAGAATAAATAGGGGGGGAAAAATGGTTTCCTAATTTGCAAAAGTAAAATACAACTTTGAAATACAAAGTTTACATTTCCTGCCGCTCCTGGTTGCCAGCGTTCCAGAGCTGAAAGACTATAGTGTCCAGGTGGGTCTGCAACATCTTAATGAGTCCTCTGGGCGCCCAAGACTACGAATTTCCCGCCTGATCTGTGGCCCGGAAGGATCCAATCTGGTTATGTTGAAACTAGAGAAGTAAGTACCCTACTTGGTGTTTCAGTTTTTGTTGTTGAACAAACCAGTGATGCTGTAACAGCTTGGTTCCACTGCGGGGTTTGGGATGGGGCGGGCCATTGGTTGCTGGTGTGGACTGGTATGGGTCTGTAAATTCAGGAGAGCAATCGCAGTTTGGTCTCTCACTTGGCTGGTAGGGTTGAACCGTTATGTTTGTTGTGCCATTTCATAAATAAGTTGTGCAACTATTCAGTATATTTGTGATGCAAAGAATGGTCTGCAGAGCTAAAGAAAAAAAGAAATGCTTACCAACGGGCTCGACAAGCGAATCATGGTCGCTGCGCCTCGCTGCCTCGGTTTGGAGGTCATTGGTCATAAATGGCGTGCAGCGCGTTCATTCCTTACCGATCCGTTTAACTTGTCCTGAGTTTAGACTCATGATGGTGGTGAGGAATGTATGGAGCTCTGCAGCTGACTCGACCTTGCCGTTGTTTGCTTGCACTTTCTCACATCCGTAAACATACAACCCTAATGAAAATACAAACTAAAGTCTGGGGTTTGTTTTGCTTGTTGCAAGTGGTGACGTATTTCTGTCCCCCATCCGTGGACTGTGTTGTCTCGCCACCCCAGCTGTACCACTCCATTTAGCTATGGGCTGCAACAGAAGGGTTCACAAAGGGAGTGGTCTGGGGTGGCTATATGGGCCGGTTTTACAATGGGGGCAGAAAAATGGGTGACCTGCCCTGAACCATCCCAAACCCTTCAGTGGAACTGAGCTGATACTCGAATAAACTTCTGTTGACCTGTGTTTGGGCTTCTGTATGCGTGAAATATTTGTATTTTATCTCCTAACTTTAGATTTTATATTTTGGTATCAGTAGAAGAGACAATTTCTTTGCTATAAATGATTATTTTGTGTACCCCAGCCCCGCTCCTGTGTCAGAGGGTGCCTCCACAATTCACCTTCCAGTAAAAGAGTGTCACATCGCCGAAGGCACCAACTGCACCGTGTACGGATGGGGAGAAACCAAAAGTACCTTTTTTTTTCACCCACATACCGGAAACACTGTTCCTCTTACCTGTTCATCAGGTCTAAAGGATTCCTGTGATGTTTATCATTTCTGTGCAGATACAGGTCAGGATGAAGTTCTGCACTCGGTCACCATGCCGATGGTCAACAATGACATGTGCTCACAAATCAAAGGCGATGCCGGGGAAAGCAGGATATGTGCCGGCGGAAAAGTTGGTGAAGGAGTGTGTGATGTAAGCAGAATCCGATGTTTCTGTTATTAATGTTCAGAAATGATTTTATCCCAACTTTAAACCCAGAATGAAGAGATTTAGAGGTTTGATCAGACTGAGACTTTATTAATAGGGATGCATGATACAGGTGCTGGAAAAAATTGATTCATGTCTGAATCGAGATTCTTATTTATAAAGATTCTGAATCGATCCAAAACGTCCACGTTTTGTTACTTGAGAAGGCGATTTCTAGCTTATTCGCTGCTCGTACCGTTTCAGTCGTCAGTTTCCATACTGATGCCTTCCATCGCTTCCAGAGCAACTCACTCCTTCATCACAGGCACCTGGGAACAGAGGAAAGTAGTTTATCCTGGAATCTGTGAAGAGATTTCCATCAAGAATCAGTTCTGAATCGAATCTTCTCCCCGAGAATCAGATTGAGTCATGAGTTGTTGTGAGATTCGCACCCCTAATGCCCGATTATATCTGCATCAGCATTGGTAATGGTCGGTGCAAAGTCATTTTTTAATATCCTATTTGTCCAATAATTAAAACTTGGCCCGTGTTAATAATTAATGTTATTTTCGTCTTGCTGTTGTTTGTGTTCGTGTTTTGGCGGAAGCGAGCGGTATCTCATCAGTGATGGTAATGCAAGATCATGGGGCTGTTTAACTGAAGCAGAGAAGCAACTTAGGTGGTGTGGTCGCTTTTACAGTGTGATACTGATAAATATTGCTTATCGACTATAATAGTCGTATTTGTGTTGACCCATTTTCAGATTGGTGCATCACTTTCTGTTATACTAACTCCTAACTTTCTTACAGAGAGACTATGGTGGCCCATTGGTTTGCCAGGAGCATGAGCGCAAAGTTATTGTTGGTGTGAGCATCCAAAGGACAAAATGTGCCTCATCGCAGCCCGCCCTATTCGTCAATGTTGCTTTCTACTCGGAGTGGATTTACAAAGTATTTAAGCTTTACCCTACAGAGGAAAGGAACTAACGTTTGGACCACAACGGGCCAAATATACGGCAAAAAGACTACCAAGATCTTCCCAAAGGGAGCTAATCAATTGGAAAATTGCCCTTTTTTTTTTTTGTGACTTGTAACTGGAGACTGGTGTACCAAATGGAATCTTATTGCTTTAGAAATGAGAAGATCTGTTTATTTTGCATCAGTAGGATTTCTACGACCAAAGTCTTGGGCACATGGATGTCGAACTGAAGTATTTTGACATGTTCAGAGTTTCTGAAGCCACATAAATGCAGACAATGAGAAAGACGTTGGTGAATGAGAATGATCTCCTGGAATGTACTTGAACCCAGTTCCAACCAGGCTACTACCCACGGTATTCCTTGTTGAATGGGATTTCCTTTCTTCTTTGGAATTTGTTTAGCTGGACTACAAATTGTGTCTTTTTACCTTTTTTTTTTTTTAAATAGAAGCGACAAATTCATATAGAGTTCCACTCTGGTTTTACGATACTTTACAAACATCACAACTATTAGTTGCTGTAATGTTAAAAAGATTTGACAGTAGTAGGACCGACTAAGCAGGACTAAGCAAACTGCTCCAGATCTTATGCTAATATTTGTAGCATGAGAGAGAGAGAGAGAGAGAGAAGCCATGCCAAATATAACATGGCTGTTTGGTCTCCAGTTTGGAGGGAACTGTGGCCCCTGGCGGGCCGTGTGTGGTCAGTAGAATATTTGATTCCTTTTTTTTACATGAACAGTTAGTGTGTAAGTACAAAGCTGCAGATTTATTATGTTTGTGCTGTGGTATAAAGGTTTATGGGTCTTATAGATCTGGAAGATTGTTGGTTCATTTTGTAAAGCTCCTTTGTGCTTCCGATTATTTGGAATATTTAAAATAATATTGGTAGCTGTTAGTATTTTTTATTTATTGTTTTAACTTAGCTGGAGAAATGTGGTCAAAAATGAACCATAAGGTTATGTGAAGGCCTGCAGTTTCTAACCAGGGACAAACTTTCCCAAACATTTGTTGAAGTTGGGATGTTAGGGAAGACATGAGGTTGCACAATGTAAAGAAAACATGCAATTATCATACTGTTGAATGCAATCCTTTGTGATGTAGAGAAACACTTTTGATTTATTGTGCAGCTCTATTAAAATGTGAAGTTAACTAAACATCTCCATCTGCAAGTTACACAAATTCTATAGAAGAGAAACCGTTTGGAATTTTGTGTTTTTCCAGAACAAAGTCATTTGGGAACTCTTAGCTTTTTAACTGATGAAGATCCATGCGGGGCCACTGGTCTAGCCCAGAACAGGGACCCATAATTCCATCCCAACAGTTTCCCATTTCCCCTTAATTCACTATAACTGAGTTTGGACCCAGAAGATTTAGACATTTCAAATTTTTTATTGTTTTATTATTATTTTTTTTCAGTATTATTTTGCATGAAGCTATTAAGTTTCTCAGCTGGCCCTAGTTTAAGGAAATAGAAAAAAGTCCTGCAAATCCCATACTCAAAACCCAGATTTTAGCCCAATTAGCATTAGCAAAACAGCCTAAATGTCACTGATTCATGACATGAATGACATGACATGACATGGCTCTTTAGTTTTTATTCATAAATTACAGGATATTCTTGAGTTTGTTTTGAACACCAGATGATTAAAAATCTAAAACTTAGGTCTGTGAACAGAGAACAAATAAAAAATAATTAAAAGTAACACACTAAAGACAAAGAGCTCCAAAATGTCAAGACATTCCTGCACCCCAATGAAAATCAAACATTTTTCCGTCAGATGAGACCAGATTCTGAATACTCATTTTTGTTGTTGGGAACCATTTACCTTTATTGTAAAGTTCCTTTTTGACCATGCTCTGACAGTGTTGCAACTCTTATTTAATGAATGTTTATGTGATGTAAATAGCCTAATGCAATCTGTAAATTCCAAGTTGTAATTAATGTAAATATCATATAAAATACAGCTGCTATTTTGTTACTTTTATATCCATGCCTTTTTTAAATTTTGTATCATTTTATATTATTCTTATTTTAATAAACAACTTGAAATTGAGCTGTTTTCCTTATTACATTTTTTGTGTGAATAAGATAAATAAGAACTCACCAGACAGCTTCTCTTGGCTCCATCAAACTGCGACCTTCAGTTCCTGCTGGATGAAGCGTAGATAATACTTCTCCACATGGAGGATCGGAGATGTGCAACGCAGTTATCCATGGTTGCAAGGGCTCTCTAATAGGCACACAAGGACAGGAGTAGAGCCGTATTTTCCAACTGTCCGTCGTAAGGAACGGAGACTGTAATCCTGTGATTGGTCAGGATGCTGCTTCCTTTAACCCTTTCATGCATGAATTATGAAATCTTTAACCAATAGCAAACAAAGAATTTTTTGAGCTGTCCACTGTAGTGACCATTGTAATGGGCAGCAGTATCTCAGGTAGTAGAGCGGGTTGCCTCATGATCGGAGGATCATGGGTTCGATTCCAGCTCCCGCCAGGGGTACTCTGCTGTTGTGTCCTTGGGCAAGGCACTTCATCCAACTTGCTTGTGTTTGTGGTGGTCAGAGGGGCCAACAGCGCCAAATGGCAGCCTCACCTCTGTCAGATCGCCCCAGAGCGGCTGTGGCTACGCAGTAGCTTACCATCACTGGCAGTGTGTGAATGTGAGTGCATGAAAGCGTCTGAGTGTCCTAAAAAGCACTATATTAGTTTGATGTATTATTATTATTTTATGCATGAAATAGTTAACTGTCAACAGCACCGCCATTCCCCCTGAAAAAATAATACGAGGGTCAAAAGATATCTAGCGGCAGACACGGAGCGGATTGAAGAACGTCTCCCAGAAAAAGAACAATGATGATGGGACACCCTAGAAAAGTGTTGCACCCTCTGTTGTCCCAGCAGAGAATTTCTTCACAACACTGACACACCAGTGGAGAAGTATAAAAGGAAAATGTCTCATCAGTACATGTGAGACTACCGTCTGTGCTATCATCTCGCCTCTGATTGGCTAAAAGCGATGTAAATGGTAAATGGCCTGTATTTGATATAGCGCCTTCTAGAGTCCTGGAACCTCCCAAGGCGCTTTACAACACAATCAGTCATTCACCCATTCACACACACACATTCACACACTGGTGGGGATGAGCCACAATGTAGCCACAGCTGCCCTGGGGCGCACTGACAAAGGCGAGGCTGCCGAGCACTGGCGCCACAGGTCCCTCCGACCACCACAGGCAGGCAACGTGGGTTAAGTGTCTTGCCCAAGGACACAACGACAGCGACAGACTGAGCGGGACTCGAACCTGCAACCTTCCGATTACGGGGCGAGCACTTAACTCCTGTGCCACCGTCGCCTATGTGACTTCCATTGCCTCAGTTTAATCTTTCATGGTTAAAAAAGGCAATGTGGACGTTTTACTTCCACAAATAACACAAGCCTTAAAAGGACTTTACGGACTTTAGAATTTTTATGCTCGTGATTGCCCCCTCAGGCCAAAAGCGTAACGGCAGCTTCAATAGTAGGCTCGTGCATGAGGCGCGCATGCTGTACGTGCACACTCCTTAACGAAAATAACAGCTGAGACAGTCCCGTGTGTGTGTGTGTGTGTGTGTGTGTGTGTGTGTGTGTGTGTGTGTGTGTGTGTGTGTGTGTGTGTGTGTGTGTGTGTGTGTGTGTGTGTGTGTGTGTGTGTGTGGCCCAGCGGACAGGAGAATGCGCAGCTACTTAATTAAATAATTTGGTTTTGTACCTTTCTCTTCAGCACAGCCGACAAAGGTTTATGATGGGTCAGTCCTCCTGCATGCTCAGATCATTCCCTTCCCTTGCTTGAAAAATTGTTCCAAAATGAAAGTTGAACCCACATCTTTTTTATCTGTGAATTCAATGCCGTTCGGCGAGTCTCAAATAAAAATTTGGACATCTTACTATAAAAAAAATACCATTAATGTAAAAAATAAACTCTAAACGAACTATGTTCACACCCAGAATCAAACCCAGGTCTTCTGCATGAGAGTCAGACATCTTACAAGGTGAGCTACACTCTAGTAACATTCACTGTATCTGTAACGTTTATATCCTTGATGACACCTGAAACAACGTCAAACCAAAGAACGCTTCGGAGCGAAAATGGCTATTTTGTTGCTAATTTACAGGAAATATCTAGAAGAAAGTTCTACAGAAAGTAGCTAAGGGTCCTCAGAAATGTAGCCAGCTTTGTCACTAGGCGTTAGGAATAGCTACAAAGTGGCACTGCCTCTCTCTCTGATGCTAAAGCTACTTGTAGCAAATGCTACGGGCTATGCCTGAGCGTGAACGCGCATGAAGCAGCCTGCTCGACCCGAGCAGCTCTCTTTTTCTGTGATTTTACAGAAAAACAGGCAATCACAGTAAAAATGCCAGGGCTCATTCTACAGGACCAGGGCATTGCAGGAGAATGTATGAAGAAATGTATTATTTCTATACATGTTTGGGCTGTCAAACTTCCTTATAGTCCCTTTAACATGTTCTGCCTTGTTGTGGAGGTGCTAATGCTTAGCTTCTAGCCGAGATGCACTCTGCTCTCTCCTGACTGCAAGATCAGTACCGTCTTCCAAGGTGGGCGAGACCATAATTTTAAAGTGTGATGTTGAGCTGTCTAGCCTTTTCTGACCAAGTGTTTCCTTGTCTATTATCTCTCTGCAGCTAATGCAGGCAATAGGGGCTGATGAAAATTCACATTCAGCAGGCAAATTTAAAAAAAAAGAGCAAGTACTACATTGTCTCTTAGTGAACCTCACCTTTAAGTATCTTGGGTTTTTTGGGGGGGGTTTTTTTCACAAGGGACGGAGGGAGCAGGAGACAGCCAGATCAAAGTGATGTCTGCAGGAATGCGATGAAAAATGAACTAAGCCAGAAAGCAAAGATCTCAATATATCGATTAATCTTCATCCCGATCCACCCTAATGATCATAAACTTTAGATCATGTGTACAAGTGTCCAAAATGAGTTTCTACGTAGGGTGGCTAGGTTCAGCCCAAAGGAGATCAGACATCTGGCAGAGACTCGATGAGCCAGCAGAGGTAATTCAAGTATTTTGTCAAAATGCCTCCCAGGAAAGGTGTTGCAGGCATGTTCTACCAGAAGGAGACCCCTTGGTTGACTCAGGACATGCTGGAGGGATTAAATATCCACACTGGCCAGGGAACGCCTTGAGATCCAGCTGAGGAGGTAATAGAGGTTGATGAGGAGAGGGCAGGTTGGGCATCTCTGCTGAGGCTTCTAGCCCCACAACACGGACCCAGATGAGCAGATGAAAACAGACAGACAGATTCACTGTCAGCCGCTTCTTCTGTTTTGGCTTTAAGGTCTTTCTGTCATTTAGAGAAGCAACTCCTTATGAGTGATGGATGTTTTGAGTGTCTAAAGCAGTAGGGGTTATTCACACAATCAGTCGAGAA